GTATCCAACCCACTGCAATATCGAATCCGCCGACCACCGCCACCGACCGCCGCAGCCGTCGACCGCCGCCCGTCGTTGCTGCCGTTTGCTGATTCGCCAGTGCTGCTGTTTTCCGATTGCTGTTCGTGGGTTTTGTCTCGTAGACAATCATCGTCGTCGTCGCCGTGTGCTTTCGTCACCGCCAAGTGCCACCCGTCGCCTTCGCCCTTCTGGTTGTCGTGGGGTAGCACTTAGGGTTTCTGGTTTCAGAAAACACTTGATCCGGTGCAGTTTGATTCATCTGTTTTGTTTGGTTCTGGTGGTTTGGTCTGGTTCTGACGTTTCGGGTGGGGTAGCATCTGTTAGGGTTTCTGCTTCAGAACATTTGCCATTTCGGTTGGTCCGGTTCAATCAACCCGATTCGGACGGTTCGGTTCAGATAGTCTGGTTCAATTAATCCGGTTCAGCCAGTTCGGCAGTTGGTTCGATTCTCACAGTGGTTCGTTTCAGTCAGATCTGGTTCGGTTCGACATATTTTGGTTCAATTCAACTGATTTTGATTAGGTTCAGCCCTCTTTCGGTTCTGTTTAGTGCTGATTTTTCAGTTTTGTGCGTGGTTCTCCATTCTTTGAGTTGTTTAGTCTTGGTATCAATGTCACAATCGTCCAAAATTACAAAAAAGTTGGACATACATGAGATCAAACAATTAAGGAGCTTCTTAAAAACTTTGGATAATGCTCCTTGTCAAGGTACAGGTTCGGTAACTTTGACGTGTACAACTTCTCAGCCTAAACGTTGTACATGGATTATTGATTCTGGTGCAACAGACCATATGACGAATAGTAGCTGTCATTTTATCTCTTATAGTATTTGTCCGAGCAATAAGAAAATTTCTACAGCGGATGGTACCTTGGTAACAGTGGCTGGTCAAGGAGACATCAAGATAAATTCAAACATTATTTTAAAGAATGTGCTTCATATACCACGTTTAACTGTTAATTTGATATCAGTAAAGAATTTGATCAAAGATTTAGGTTGCAGAGTAATTTTTTCTGATTCTTCTTGTATTTTACAGGACTAGAGCAATGGGAAGATTATTGGACTTGCTAATGAAAAAGATGGACTTTATTATCTTAATGAACTTGTCGATCAGACTAGTGTTCCAATCTTCTTCACCTCACAAACTCATCATCCTTCAAGTAAGCTTTTGTTGAATCATTATAGACTAGGACATCCTTCATTTCGAACTCTTAAAATATTGTTTTCTGATTTATTCCAAGATCTTAATCCTGAGTTAATTCAATGTGAAGTTTGTGAATTCGCTACACAAGCGTGTATCTTTCCCTAGTAATAATAAACGAATATCAGTTCCCTTCTCTCTTATTCATACTGATGTTTGGGGTCCCTCCAATGTTCCAAATGTTTCCAAATTTCGTTGGTTTATTGTGTTCATTGATGACTGTACTCGAGTCTCATGGGTTTATCTTTTAAAACAAAAATCCGATGTTGGTTCTACCATTCAAACATTCTTTCATAGGATAGAAAACCAATTCGGAATCAAACCGAAACGATTCCGTTCTGACAATGCTCGAGAGTACTTCAATCAAAACTTGACATCCTTCTTTAAAAAAAAATGGAGTCATCCATGAGTCGTCTTGTGTGGACACTCCTCAACAAAATGGAGTGGCCGAAAGAAAAATTGGTCACATCCTTTCTGTGACACGTGCCATTCTTTTTCAAAGAAATGTTCCTAAATCCTTCTGGGGGGAAGCTGTGTTAACAGCCACTTATTTAATCAATCGATTACCATATGCTACTCTAGACCATAAAACTCCTACGAATATCCTATCAAAATATTATCCTGATTTTTGAACAAGAAATAACTTGACTCCTCAAGTATTTGGTTGTGTTGCTTTTGTTCATGTTCATAGTCATCAGTGAGGTAAACTTGATCCACGAGCACTCAAGTGTATTTTTGTCGGATACTCGAACACTCAAAAGGGATATAAATGCTATCATTCTCCTTAAAAAAGGTTCTTCATCTCTGCTGATGTTACCTTCTATGAAGACACCAGCTTCTTTACCTCACCATATCTTCAGGGGGAGGAACTATTATTAGAAGATAAGGATTTGCCCATTCCCAACCTCACATTTCCTATATCAAATCCTTTACCACTACCCTTAGACACCTTACCGGGACCATCTAACCCTTCTACTACTACACTATTATAGGTTTATTCAAGAAAGAACACTGAAAAAGATAAGCAAGTCCAAGAGTCTGAACATATTCCTGTAACTAAAATTGACGAGAAAATAATCAGTGATGAATCGGACATTATAGTATCTACTAATGATGAGTCAGATATTACAATATCTGCTAATGATGAATCAAGCCTGGATTTGCCGATTGCTTTAAGGAAGGGATAAAGGGACTTGTACTCAGTATCCATTGTCTCACTTTGTATCATATGACAAACTCTCAAGTCAGTACAAAAGTTTTATGGTTAACCTTACTCAGGTAAATATTCCAAAAACATATATGGAGGCAATACAACATGAAGAATGGAGGTGAGCAATGAATCTTGAAATGCAGGCTTTAGAAAAAAATAAAACATGGGAGTTGGTTACTATGCCTAAAGATAAGAAAGCTGTAGGATGTCGATGGATATATACTGTAAAGTATAAAGCAGATGGAACACTCGAGAGGTACAAAGCATGGTTGGTTGCTAAGGGATATACTCAAACATATGGAGTTGATTATCTTGAAATCTTTGCGCCTGTTGCCAAGATGAACACAGTACGAATACTTCTATTTCTTGCTGTAAATCATGGATGGGACATGTTACAATATGATGTAAAAAATGCTTTTCTACATGGTGATCTTGAAGAAGAAATTTATATGGAGATTCCACCTGGGTATCAACAAGCAGGAAATAAAGTTTGTAAATTAAAAAAGGCGTTGTATGGATTAAAGCAATCTCCTAGGGCATGATTTGGTAGATTTTCTCAAGTTACGAGGAAGAGGGACTATAAACAAAGTCAAGGAGATCATATATTGTTTATAAAACATTCTGCTACAGGTGAAGTAATAACATTGATCGTTTATGTGGACGATATTATCGTCACTGACAATGATAATAATGAGCAAGATAAACTGAGAAATTGTTTAATCCAAGAGTTTGAAGTTAAAGAATTGGGAAGACTGAAATATTTTCTTGGGATAGAAGTAGCCTATTCTAAACAAGGCATATTCTTATCACAACAGAAATATGTGATTGACTTACTTTCTGAAACAGGAAAGCTTGGCAGCAGACCAATAAGAACACCGATTGATCAAAACCATAGATTATGTGTATCTGAAGAGAGTCCTCCAGTAAATAAGGAAACTTACCAGAGGTTAGTTGGAAAATTAATATATCTTTCTCAGACGGGACTAGATATTGCGTATGCTGTAGGAGTGGTAAGTCAATTTATGCATAGTCCAAAAGAAATTCATCTTCAAGCTGTGTACCGAATACTCCACTATTTGAAGAACTCCATTGGGAGAGGATTGTTGTTTAAGAAAGGCGAGAAACTTAATCTATAAGTTTATACAGATGCAGATTATGCAGGATCGATAGACGATAGAAATTCTACTACTGGCTATTGTACTTTCTTAGGTGGGAACTTAGTGACGTGGAGAAGTAAAAAACAAAATATAGTTGCAAGATCAAGTTCAGAAGCGGAATTTAGAGTAATGGCATTGGCATCTGCGAATTACTGTGGATAAAGATTATTTTAGAAGATTTGAAGATTCCATGGGAAGGGCCTATGAAACTTTATTGTGATAACAAGTCTGCCATCAGTATTGCACATAATCCAGTTCAACATGATAGAATCAAGCATGTTGAAGTTGATAAACACTTCATAAAAGAGAAGTTAGATAGCGGCCTCATAAATACTCCATTTGTACCAACAAACAATCAAATAGCAGATATTCTTACAAAAGGATTGAACAACATCAACTTTGAGCATTTGATTAACAAGCTGGGAATGGAAAAATATTCATTCACCAGCTTGAGGGGAGTGTTAAATTATAGTTTATTTTATTTTAAAGGTTTCCTATTTTATTTAGGTTAGGGTTTTATTGTTCTAATAGGTAAGTGTTTCCTTATCCTAATAGGCAAGAATTTCTTTTTAGTTTCTCCTTTGTGACTGCTATTTATAGCCTTGTATCAATCATTTGGTGTAATCAAGTAAGAATTATTTTCTTTTCTTATCAATTAACAGTTTCTTTCAAATCATACTAAAAAACAAAAACTAATAAAGAAAACTTTCTAGACTTTATTAAGAACGAACACATCTAATTTTGGGAAATAAGCAACTAATTCAATAACTTAACTAGAAAATAACAAATTGTTTCAAAAAGAAAACTTAACAATGAATCTTATCAAATTATCCTAGTAATCGAAGAATAAACAAATTCAAATTGAAACTCCTTCAACTAATAGCAAAAGAAAAGAACAAGAAAGCAACCTATTGTTGTTTCAGCCTCAAGGCTCCTCCACGCCATCACCAATCTCATTCTCCATATAGCCACCTGAAAAATTTGAAGTATAATGAAAATCAAAATATATCCAAATATATGGAACATATAATATATCTATAAATGGAGGACCCAGAGTAACACATGTTCGTTCTAATATGCATATCCTCGTACTTAATTTCCGCTAACTTACTCAACGAGATGCATCAATATTTGACCATTTAAATCCAAGGCCCTCATGCTAACTCCTCACAATGCAACGTATTGACACCATTTATTCTCAAGGCCCCAATTCTTAACTTCATTTAAACCCATTCCATTGGCCCTCGACTATTTGTACCCAACGCCCCAACACTTATCCTTACACATTGCGGCACACCAGCCCTTGATCATTTATAACCTTGATCATTTATAACCGAGGCCCCAAGTAAAAGTATCTATCATATTGGATTTTTCTTCATCTACAAGAACTATTGGTTTTTCCATATTCTTACAGGTTTTGAGTTATGATGGTTTGCACACTCCTGATTGTTTGGCTATTACGGCAGCTGGCATAGCAGTGTAAGTCTGTTATCTTTTTGTTTGTCACTTTTTCTGCAGTCGTTTATGTTATACATACATTTTCATCTCAGTCCTTCATTTTCTAAATAGTCATGGTTCAATGTACAGTGCTCTCTCAGAAGTTCCTAATTCAAAAGTAGTTGCTGGAGTTCGAATTGGTCTTGTGGACGACAAGTTTATTGTTAATCCAACTATGAAAGAGATGGAAGACTCTAAGCTTGATTTAGTACTTGCTGGCACAGACAGTGCAATATTGATGATAGAGGCAAGTACATTTTGTTAGCTTTCTTGAAGGATGATTTTGTGTTTCTACTTTTTGTGCTCCCTGCATCCTTCAGTTCAGTGTGCGTTTCATATGGAATATTTGGTTTTTATTAAAAAAAAAAAAGATTATGCACCTACTACTACTTATTTGACCTTATTTTATTCACATCAGCTACCTGGTGCAAGTTGGTCAAACCTTTTTTTTAATTACTCTCTTAGAGATATTTGTGCTAAACGGAAGGGATTTTTGTAAACAAAACTAGCCTTTTTGTAAATTTCAGTATATTAATGAAATGACGTTCTGTTTTTTCCCAAAAATATAAAGTGTATATATATATCGTGCACGTGTGTTCTTCATGTTCTATTTTTATTATTTTTTTTGATATGACAACATTTTTCATCTAGGCAATAAAAAAGTTCAAAAAAGGGAAATAAGCTTTTTATTTATTTATTTTTATTTTATAACCGGGAGTCGGAGCCTATACCTTGGGCACTCAAGGGAAATAAACTTCATTGATAATAATCTCTTGGGAGAGTACATCAAGAGGAAGCTAAAAATGTCATAAGATCTAATTAATCAAAAGATCCTTATTAGTACTTGAAAAACTCTGGTTTCTCTTGATCCATATCTACCATAGCAGGGTTTTAAGCATATTAATACAAATTATCTTCGTGACTGATATTACTTTCTTGAGGTGGTAGGTTATCTGTTTTATTCATAGGTTTTATACACCGTATTTAACACATTTTGCTCATGCTTAAGACCTAATGTCGTTGAATTTTACGCTCAATATGTTCAGTTTCACCTTGAAGTGGTTCATACTTGCTGATTGCATTATGCATTTTACATTTGTTTGTAGCTTTGCAATTGCAGTTGTTTTTCTTAAGTAAGAAATTTGCATTATCAATGTACGTGATTCGATTGATATGTCAAGTACCTCTTTAGTTTGATATGGGTAGAAACTAAGGTTTGAGAGAATCAGATCATTATAATTCTCATTACCGAAGTCTATATATATAGAAAAATATACAAAGTTGACCTAATTCTAGAAAAGGAAGGTAAAAGACAAATAAATACATATTATTACAAGAATATAAAATATACTAATATATATATACTCTAGCACTTCTCCTCAAGTTGGTGCATATATGTTAATCATGCCCAACTTGTTAGAGAGATAATCTATCCGTGCTCCATTCAATGCTTTAGTGAAGATATCTCCTAACTGCTCTCCAGTCTTCAAATATCCTGTAGCCACCAATCCTTGCTATATTTTCTCACGTACATAATGATAATCAATTTCAATGTGTTCGGTTCGTTCATGAAATACTGATATAGATGCAATATGGAGAGTGTGAGAGCCCTATTGGGAGTATAGGGGAATATTAGTTTGTTAGTATGAAGGGGTAGTATGGTAATCAGTGTGATAATTAGTTAAGGGCAAGATGTATATAATATAAATAAGGGTAGTAGCGGAGAAGGAGATCATCCTTGGGAATAGTATTTTGGTGAAGGACTTGAGAGAGTTCTTGGGAGAGAGATAGCCCTCTCGAAAGGCTATCGTTATTCTAATTACTCTTTTGAATTGCAATATAGTGTTCTAGTTAGGTTCTTGTATTTGGGATCCTAACAAACTGGTCTCAGAGCAAGTTCATCCTGGCCATTGGATTTGTATCAGAGTTAGTATTGCAGAAGCTAAAGAGATGGGCGGTAGTAAAGGATAATCCTTTGAGAATTGCAACGACAACTCAAAAAAATGCAAAATATGCTTACGGAGTGCACAACAAGACCGTTTGGGAGGGAAAAAGAGACCAAATACGGAAGAACCAACTGTGAAGAAACCCGTCTTGAAGTTATTGGATTGTCGGAAGCAGGGGCGAAGAGTTGCTGGAAGACGGCGATCATACCCAATAACGTGGACGGGAGCTCGATGGAAAATCAATCGAGGTATGTAAAGGTCAGCTTTCAGGGATTCATCGAGAACGGATGAGAAAAATTATCCTCAACTGAGCGGGAAGAAGCTGGGGAGGAGAAGAAGGCAACACAGATCACGAAAGTTTGAAAAGAGGGATGAAGTAGAAATTAAAGTTCGACGAAATTCGAAGATCGGGCGAGTTGAACTGATGAATGTTGTGACTAAGGCTGAAGTTTTGAATGGAGGTCGACCATGGAGGGTTCCGTGACGAGAATCGAAAACTCGAAGGGGAAGGAGTTTTAATAATCGTTGGCGAAAAGGTGTAAGTAATGGTGAAAGCAAAAGGAAAAAGAGACATAAGACAGATGGAAGACATCACTGGCGAAAGCAGGCATGTTCGGAGAAGAAGCTCAATAGGAGGTGTCGATGGAAGTTCTGTGAAGAGGCAATCATGGAGGTTCAAGGAGAACAGGGGTCACAAGAGAAAGAGGGAAGAAGGAACCCTAACCACGTGAATCACGTGAAGGGCAAGGAAGAAGAAGGTTCTGTGGAAAAGTTGGACCCTAGGCTGGAAGAGAGACTGGGTTGAGACGACTGAAATCAAATGACTTTGGTGAGGCCTATTTTGATTCAGAAAAGGAGGTTAGGCAAGATAGGTTTGGGTTTCGGGTCGGGTCAAAATTTGTTTTAAATCCAAACCCAAAACCCCACCCGAAATGACATATCCCTACCTATGAGATGGGAGAAACCCTAGTAGCCGTCATTGGGAAATTCCATCTTAACCCCAACGTGACGCCACCGTCCACCTTCACTATGTTTGCCGTCGATCGTGACTTGGGGATCCACCGTTGTTGTCAATCCTCAGCCATCACTGTCTGCAGCTAATGCTACTGCCATCCGCTGTATGCTGTCGGTGTACGCCATCGCCCACTGACGTTCGTCACGCCACCACCGCCATTGTTTGTCACACACCACTGCACACCATTTTCTACTGTCGCCACCATCCGCGTACGCTGTCGCCGGGGTACACCATCGTCCGATGTTGTTTGTCACACACCACCGTCGCCGACTGTCGCACACCACCGGTTATCATCGTTTGCCGCACTTTTCATCAGACCAGTCGACCAACTAGGGTTTTTCTTTTACTTTCTATTTGAAACAGTTTTTGGGTGGATATTTTCTTGTAAAAAAAAAGGAAAAAAAAAATAGTTTTGTGTATGCACACCTTGAGTACAAGGTGTCTTTGGAGGGTGGGGTATTGTGAAAGCCCTAGGGGAATATTAGTTTGTTAGTATGAAGGGGTAGTATGGTAATTAGTATGATAATTAGTTAGGGGTAAGATGGATATAAATAAGGGTAGTAGGGGAGAAGGAGATTATACTTGGGAATAGTATTTTGGTGAAGGATTTGAGAGAGTTCTTGGGAGAGAGATAGTCCTCTCGAAAGGCTATCGTTAATGTAATTACTCTTTTGAATTGCAATATAGTGTTCTAGTTAGGTTCCTGTATTTGGGATCCTAACAGTGAGCTGCTTGGTTATCACACCAAAGTTTCATTGGAGTGGTGATGCCATCCCAATTCAGTCAGAAGCTGATATATCCATACTAATTCGCACACCGACTGTGCTATAGCTCGATATTCTGATTCAGCACTTGAACGCGACACTACATTTTGTTTCTTACTTTTCGGGTCCATCTCCTTCTTGTTCAAGGGTTTCTTCCAGCCTCTGCCGCCGACCCTGTTCAGATGCCGTACAACCAGTACCGTCGATTCCGTTCAGACGTCGCGCCGTAATTGTTTGAGGTTTGGATCGCCATTATTTCGATGCCAAGGTCGTCATCTTCACTGTCGGGTGTTCAGTCGTCGGAGTCGCCATCAGAAGTACCGTCGACGTCAGGTTTCTTGGTCGTCGGATTCTTGCCTCGTGTGACTGTCATTGGTGAAGTGATTTCGCGTGGCTGCTAGGGTTGTTGTCGAAAAGGGTGGCTGCTAGGGTTTAAAAAGGGAAATCTAAACATTTGTTGGTTCGGTTCACGATTTTTGGTTCAGATTGGTTCACGATTTCTGGTTTGGTTTGGTTCAGTTTCTAACCTCTGTTAAGCTTAGCCTCGTTTCGGTTTACTTTTGTGCGGTTTAGCCATTTTTGTTCCGGTTCAGTAGGTTTACTCCATTTATCTCAAGTTATTTGTTTAACTCTTCTCCAATCAAAGTCAACGGATTCCACCAAAGCTTCCAAAGAAACTATCATGGAAGAAACTAATAAATCTTCCACAGGAGACCTACAATACATCCATCCTAGTTATAGATTGGATGGAAAAAATTATTTAAAATGGTCTCAACTTATTCGAACTTTCTTGAAAGGAAAAGGAAAATTGAACCACATTATTGGGGAAGGACCTAAACCGAAAGATCCAAAGTTCGATGCATGGGATGAAGAAGATTCAATGATTATGTCTTGGTTATGGAATTCAATGACTCCTACTGTTAGTGATACATGTATGTTTCTTAAGACTGCAAAGGACATATGGAAACAATGAAGGAAACTTATTCCAAAGTAAAAGATGACGCACAAATATTTGATATCAAAACTCGTATCTTTCGGACAAAACAAAGTAATCAAACAGTGACATAATATTCTATAATTCTTCAAAGTTTGTGGCAAGAACTGGATCATTATCGATGCATTGATATGAAATGTACTGATGATGCTGCTACTCTAAAAAAAGTTTGTTGAAAAAGACCGAATTTATACGTTTCTTGCCGGTCTCAATGTAGAATTTGATGCTGTTCGAATACAAATTTTGGGCAAAGATCCCTCATCTCTGAATGAAGTTATTGGTATTGTTAGAAGTGAGGAATCTCGCCGTAGTATTATGCTGGAACCACAGACAGAAGGATCGGTCATCAAAACAAGAGGTACTAAAATGACTGATGAAGAGCAACGTACAGGAGCTAACAATTGTGACGTAGGAAAAACAGGAAATAAAGACCGTGTAGTATGCACTTATTGCAAGAAACCAGGGCACACCAAGGATAAATGTTGGAAGCTACATGGAAAACCTGCAAACTATTAGAATTCGAATTCC